AACTTTTGTTTTTTAACGAGTACTTCAAAACTGTTCCTGCATAACTATTTTATGGATTTTTTCAGACTAGTTATAAAACTTACTTTTAAGTGTAATGTGCTTAAGCCTTCAGTTTAAAGTAGTCCACTTCAAAATGCAGTGTAGAAAGTCAATGTGGTTTGCATAGTAGCTAGAAAAATTGCATCTGTCCTTGAAACGCTGTTTTGTTTGAGTGGTGGGAGCGGTTGAGAACTTCCTGCAGAGCAGATAACTTCTGTTTTTGTAAATATTCAAGTATTTGAATCGACTGATTATTTTTCTATATATACTTGAAACTTCTTATTGCTCTAATGCTCATACTGAAAAGCTGATTCTCTTGAAATCCTATGTTTGCTCTTTGCATCTATTAGATGACATGCACTACAGTCTGTCTTGCCATTGTCTGTTGAAGTGCAGGTTTGATCCAGCCAGTATAGAACTAGCTCTATAGGGGTGAGGAGGACTGTGCTGTGTATCATCCTTGATTGTTCCTTCAAGGAGCATTGCACTGTAAGTACATCAGAATGACAAATTGATGAACTGCAACAGTATCTTTTTGTCAATGTTCCACATAATGCAAATGCCGTACTTGTGTGACTATTATGTTGGAATACAGTGCTGATATCTTAGGAAATCATAATTGCTTCTTAATTCAGAACCATAGGTTTGCTTATATATATATATATATACATACACATAACATGAGCTTTGTGGGTAAGTATTCCTGAAACTTTTAGCAATAGCTAAAGAAAATCATGTTTCTGTTTATCTGAGTAATAGTTTTTTTCATTAGTACTCCTGAGACAGCTGTCATTCAGTGTTTTAAAGTTTGCATATCGTAACATTGAAGTCTTTGGAACCACTTGTTAGACAGAAGTTGTCTTTGTCTTCAGATAGTTTGTGGATATGTAGTGATGTAGGTATGTTTTAAATAATTCTGTAACTGTTAATTGCTTTATTTTTTTGGAACACCATGTTGTTGCTTTGAGAATAAATTTTTTTAGGGTGGCTGCACAGAGAAGTAAAAGTTAAGGCTTGAAAACTGAAGTAGTTTATTCAGGTAATCAGCAATGTATGTATTGTGCTGTAGAAATAGAAGGAATTATTTTTATCCCTTTTAAAAGTAGGAATTATGCTGGTAGCTTGCAAAAGGCTAGGACAGTATTTGCTATCTTTAGTGTAGGGCATTAAGTTTAATAGTTCAGGTATTTTGCATGGTATTTTGTAGATAACCTTACAGAATGGTGCATTTATTATGTACTAAACTGAGCAAAAATTAAATTCACTGGATTCTTTATCAGTCACAAAATGGAGGCTGTTGATTTTGATTCATTTAAGGTATAAAATCTTTATTAATTGCAAACAGTGCAATTATTTATACTTCACAGTGCCTTCCCAGACCTTCCACCTTAGGTTCTGCTGCAAAAAAGCAACAGGTAAGCACAACCTAAGGAAGTATATAAATTAATATATTTCAGTACATTAATGTTGTCCCTGTGAGATCTTTGTGGTTGTGTATTGAAAAGCAATCTGCTGCTTCCCCAAATGCATTGTTACTCACGGTTCCATTTCAGTGGAAAGTCTTAAGTTTTTAAACAACTGTTTATATTTCTAGGTAAATATGTATTTTTTCTTTTTTCTTGTTTTTTGTTTTAATTTTTAAAAAGATTATTAGATTGCAGTAATTGAACTTGATCAGAATAAGTAATTTTTGTTATTTTTCCTCAAATAGCTAATTGTTGCAATTAAAGAATCAAAACCTTTAAAATATGCAGGAATTCCTTCGGTTAGAAATGTCAACAGCCTTCACAAATGTTTTTTTATAATAGGGCACTATTCCCACTTAAACCCATCAGACCTAATGTAAAGAATATGATTCTTGTTGTTATCACTGAACTCGATAACTTGTCTTACAGTTATAGTGTGTTAGTGGAATCTTTAGATAACTTAGTTTGCTTATTCATACTTGACATGGTAGGAAAACAGATTGTGGAGTTTGAGATCAGTATGTTTTATAACTGAACAAGCATGTGCACCAATTAAATGTTAACAGTACAGCAAATACTATTTTATTGATATAGCAGTCAGTGTATCCTGTTTCTTGATACTTTAACTGAATTGCTGTATATTTTGATAGTATAAAATGTTATATGTCTTACAGATGGTCTGGTACAGGTTTTTGTTTTGAGTTTTTGTTGTTGGTTTTTCTTTTTTTTTTTTTAGCTTAACATAAAGCAGCATCTTTGGGTTTTTTTGTTCATTATTCTGTTTCTAAAATGTGCTGCTCCTCTTTCAAAAGTCCTGCTTATCTGTTACATCAAAGAAAAATATTCAAAAATCCTGCCTTCATTTTCACACACAGTGCTGAAGATGCTGCAAGCACCAAATCATAGCTCATAGAATCAGGTCCTGAGATAGTTACTACCAGTAAAGAGGAATCCTTTGAGTGTATGCCATTGGTGAGCCGATGAGCATGGACCATAGAAGGGCTCCATGTGGAAGGTAAAATTGGCAAAAGCATAACAGATTTGCAATGTATCCCATACATAATGGTGTAGGGTATAATTTTTGTTCTGATCACTTTTCATTCTTTGAAGTATTCTTTGTTTGACCATAAATGTTCCATAATCTGTTACGTTTTTTTTTTTAAACTGTGATTGAATAATATAAACCATCTATTTTACTTTATATTCTTCTAAACAGCCAAGTTTAATTTTTTGAACTAAATTAATAGTTGTGCTTCAGTTTCTCAAGCCACTTAGTATTTCATCTGTAGTTTTAACATGTAACTTCATTTTTGACATGAGAAAAGGTTAGGTGTGTGTTCCATTTAGAGTTTGATACTGTGAATTTAGTGTGGGGATGAGTCATTTGTTCACTTCCTTTTTACATGGTACTTTTTTCTTCAGCTGTTACTCCTAAAATACCTTGAACAGTCTTTCAGCTGTTAATTTAGCCTGTGGGAGGAGATAGAGAAGGAGCAGACATGTGTTGGGATGTTGGGAGTGTGTGGAAGGTGGGCTGTTCTCGTGTGCAGCATTTGAGGTGTATGACTCCAGCTCTCTCACTGCTGGCCTTACAGCCACGCTGCTTTGTGCTAAGATAGTGTTTAGTTTTCACCTCTGTCTCCAAACTCGTAGTTCTTGGGAGAACAGGAGATTATTGGAGCTCTCCAATAGCCAGAGAGAGAACTGGCCTTCCTTAGAAACGCAGTGAACTTGTCCAAAAGGTGTCTGGAAATGTTCCCCACTTAGCCCAGCCCCAGCCTTTAGTGTCCCACAAATACAGTAGAATGTGAAGTGTGCAAAGCTGACAAAGCAAGCAGAATTTTCCAAGTAGGAAAAGCATTTTTGTATCGCTTCCTGCAGCCTGTACTTCATTAGGACAGAAACCAAAATATCAGGTAGATAATCTTCAGTGTAGCTTGATCATAAGCCATCTCCTTCACTTGTCCAGGCAGACAGGATCATGATTCACTTGCACAGCCTAATCTTGAGATATTGCATCTTTTTCTGGTGGTATTTTATTGGATGGTAGAAACTGTTTCTCCCCTGTTCTCTTCCAGAGTAATTCTTAAGTTTTCCATTGCATGCTAAAAGCTTTTTTATTTTGCTTTTTTTCTGGAAGTGGGGGGAGGAAGGGAGGACTGGGCTTTTCAGAAAGCATACAATTGCCAGGATTCCCTCTTCCCTAGTAATAGCTTGTGAAACTCTCATGTGTGCACAAATATTTCTCTTGCGTGCATGTGAAATGCCTTTTCGTCCTGAGAAAAGTGTTCTCTGCAGAAACTACCCGTGTGTAAAACGAAGATTGGCTTTAAAAGGCAACTGTGATGGGAACAGTGTCTTAGGGAGATGCAGCTTGGACTTGAGGTAAATTGAATGCTTTACAAAAATGTGGTTTTGAGCTTGCATTGACATTGTATGTAATATGGGTACACATTAACTGTATAATGGTTTTTGTATGGTTTTTCTCAATAAATGTAAACTGATGGATAATAATGGCAATGTTTTTGTCTTTTTTATGCTCCTGTCCCTGCCTCTGTTAGTGTGAAATAACAGCTTCAGAGGAAAAATACTGCAGCAAGTAGTACTTCTGTGAATGAGCATCACCCACATGAAATGAAGGAAAATCTGTTTATGTGGCTATTAGGGGAAGTACTATGTGAAAACATCAATTAGTGCAGCTCGTTACCATTTTTTCTGGAGGCAGAGAGTGAATTCCAGTAGGGAACTGGACAAAGAGCAGCAGGTTCTGCCATGGGGAAATTTCTTTCTGAAATGACTGCAGAACTTTAATTTACTGCAGCTTGCCTTGTCTTTATGTCCAGGCCTGTACACGTGTTCTTTCATTTAAAATGTGACTATTTTTTTGTAAAGTTACTCCTAAAGAAGCTGAATCTGGTTCAGATGGTGTTGGCACAGTGACATCAATGTTGATGTCAAGAGGTCTTAGAGAAAAATAGTCCAGTAGCCTTAAGACAGTGTTTAGAGATGGGGCAATAAATTTATTGCATTAAGCTGAAGAAAACAGGCACTTTCTGAAAACTTTTTTTCTTAGAGCTTGTTTCTTTTAAGCTTAAAATATGAGCCAATCATAATTGTCACCAACTGCCCCTGCATCATTTAATCAGTGAAAAAATCAGAAGTTTTCCAAGACAGTTGTTGGTATTATGAAGAGCATTACAAACCTAAGGGAGATGGTTTTCCTTTAGGATTATCATCTGCATGGGTTGGTCAGAGCACAACAGTTTAAATGCAAGCCCATTTTAAAGCAAGAAGTAATGAATGCTCTTTGGAAAAAGGCAGCAGTGGTGAGCAGTTAGCTAATCTTTTATTCTTTAAAAACAGTACACTTGGGTTTCTGAACATCCTCAATAAGTATTCCCTTTTGCCAGTTCAGTGCCTCTGGGATAAAGTTAAACAGCCTAAATATTCAGTGCTCATGCAAAGTGTACCAACAGACTGACACCACGACACAGGTTTCCAGGTTGTGTATTCAGCTTTATTCTGTTATGCAGCAGTTGGTCTTGGAATGGGGGAGCACTATTTTAATTCAGCTTTTTCCTTTGTTGATCTCTCATACATTGATTCTTTTTTTTTTTTTAGCCTTTAATACTGATTTTTGCCTTGAGTAGGGAATCCAGACACACTCATAATTTGAAGGTTATTCTGATGCAGGAATGACAAATTAATGCATATCCTTGCTTTCTTTAGTTGGCCCCATCAGAGAAAGAGATGATGCAGTAAGAAAGTTGAGGGGAAGAAAGATTCCAGCTAAGGTAGAGCATTAGTAGTCATCGGCTAGAAAATACAAGAAGGGTTAAGAGAGAAAGGTAGTTAGGTTTTGGTAACAGGAAAGATGCAAAGAAGGGTGAGAATTAGGCAGATTAAAATGCTAACTCTTACTTTCAATGGTGAGAATGCAGGTGCTGGCAGCTGAGCCTCTGTTGTTGACTGCTTTACACATATATTCCCCTTCGTCTTCTGGGAAGGTTTCTGGCAAGTAAAGGCAATAGGTTTCTCCTCTTTCAATGTACTGATAGTCCTCAGAGTCCTGCAACATCTCCCCCTCAAACCACCACGTAACTTCAGGTTTGGGTTCTCCAGTGATTTTAACTGTGAATCTCACTGGCTCGCCATCAACAACTGAGGTGTTTTTCAGTGACTTCTTGAACCAGGGAGCTCCAGATCGAGCTTGATCCTCCTCATCTTCACAAGTAGAACCATTAATGATGCTTCCCTCTTCTTCTTCTTCCTCTTCTCTTTTCTGTTTTGAAATAAGTCCACTTAGAACATTTAAAGTGGCAATAGCAGTGTGACTGCCAGTGATGCGTCTCTGATCACAGACAAGTTATGGTGCTTGTGAGAAGGGGAAATGCCACACCTGTCCTCACTAGGTCACATATGCCCTGAATCTGGGAGTGCAACAGGCAGTAAAATGCATTTTAGTAAGGCTGGAATCTTGGTGTAAAATACAGGCACAAGTGTAGATTCCATTTTCAGACTATTCAAGGGATGCCATGACCTTTCTTAGCAGTGTCTTGTACTCTTCTGGAAATGTTCCAGGCCAGGCTGGATGGGGCTTGGAGCAACCTGGTCTGCTGAGAGGTGTCCCTGCCCATGTCAGGGGGTCAGAAATACATGATCTTTAAGGTCCCTTCCAACCCAAACCATTCCTTAATTCCATGAAGGGTAAACACCAAATGCAATTTTTACATTATTTATGTTACCTCAGCAATTCCCAGCAGCTGCTGAAACAAGTGAAAGGTTCCTTTTGTGTCTCTGGTAGTGTTGTCATCAGTGGTAATGAGAAGCAAAGTTAAATGACACTTAGGACTGAGGAATGAGACTTTAAGATTTATACCTTCTGTAAGGCTGCATCGATCTCTTTCTGCTCAAACTGCATGCGCAGGAATTTCTGCTCCTCGATCCTCCTCTGCTCCTCCTCCTCCCGGGCTCTTGCCATTTGCTCAAAACGGGCCTTCATGTTCACTTTGTGAGTAAATGGAGCCTCGGATTTCTTGGCTGGTCTCACATCTACATCGTCCTCCTTGGGAAGAAAACGTTCAAAACAGGACTTATTTATTATCTTTGATATGTGTACGATGGTAAAACTAATTTTTTATGTTCCCACAGTTCTTTTTAACTGAGAAAAGCCACACAAAATCCTGCTTTTTTTCTCAGGTTTGTTAAATGTGGGGTCTAAAATCAAGTCTTGTAATAGTTTATCCCAGGATAGGGCAAAATACTTGCAAAAGTAATTTAAAAAAAAATAGGTAGAAAATACTCCTGAAGTTTTATTCACATAGAAATGTAATACTTTGTGCCAGTGGTAAATCCTCAGTGACTTGAGTTTTATGCCATGGTGGTAGTGCAGGTTCAACCCCTTCTGATCTTACAGAAACAATTAGTGTCAATCATTAACTTGAAAGTTCAAAACTAAAAGCCAGGCTTTGAGCTGCCCCAGGAGTGAGTGAGTGAGTGCTGTGCAGAGGAGCCCAGGGCAGGATTGCTGCTGTCACAGGGTTGGGCACTGCCACAGAATTATGTCGCCAAAGCTCCCACTGGGCTGGTGGGTCCCAGACCCTTGTGTTGATTGTGCAGACTGATGGCTCCAATTCTTGTTTTTTCCCCTCTGAGAAGTGTGAGGTTCCAGTCTGAGCTATAGATAGGTGGGCATCCTCCTCTGCTCTACCCTGAGGAGTAAGTGAACCTGATAAAAAGACTTCAAGTGGTTTTGTTTGGGTTGGGTGTGGTTTGGATTTAATTCATACAGTGGAGAATGAATTCAGCAGGAGAAGCAATTCAAGTGCTAATGGATAATTCTCAGACAGGAATGTTTTAAACCCTCAGGCTGGCAGGTCTCAGGTTAAGATGCTGAACTGAGGACTTGGAGCAGAAAAATCTCTGCTTGCCCAGGTGCTGTTTCCTTTAGGGATGCTGGGTGAGAGATCCTCAACATCCAAGGAGGGAACAGGAAAGAAGGGAAAAGATCATTTTAGAAATACAACGAAATTTGATGAAAGCAGCAGCATAGTCCCCTCCTGGATCATTAATGTGCTGGTTAATTATATCATTAACATACACACAATGAACTTACCTCCTGGAATTTTTCAGCTTCTCTTTCTCTTATTTCTTCATCCATTGCTCTCCTCTTTGCTCGCTCTTCTTCAATCTTCTTCTGTATTTCTTCTTGAGACAACTGTCCTATTTTTTCAAACTTGCTTTTTAAGTTCTTTGCCTGAATAGAACCACTTCTTTTTAGCTTTATTAATTCTTCATATTCTTTGCTCAGCTCAAAAGTTTCACACTCTTCTTCCAGCTGTTGAGAAATCACAGAATGTGTAAGGTGGGAAAGGCCCTAAATTAGTTTTACTGCCCATTCTCCCACAGAAAGGTGCAACTCAAAACACTACAGCTCTCTTGGTTACTAGAAATCAGCAGAGATCTTCTCCCTGTAACATTTTTGTCCTCCCTGTTCTCATGATGACTGCATTTGTATCACCTCTCAACCAGCTGAAGATTTTAAAATGTCTTGTAAGATATCTTCTAAAACACCCTTTGTTCAAGGGTTGCTGTCAATAAATGCCCTTCACAGGCTCACAAACCAGACACCAATACAAAAAACTGAGTTATCCAAGATCCATAAATTCACCTCTACTTACTTGCAATATGATATGAAATTATCTTCTAAACCACAGCTATTTTGTTAAACAATAAAATTATTCCTTTTTTTTTTCTTTTAATTCAGTAAAAAGCAGATGACATTTCAGGATGTCGTGGCTGGAAAAGGAAGGGCAGCTCTGGCTCCTGTAGTCAGACCACATCTGAAGCTGTAATTGCTGATATTTTTCTCCCTCCTTTTATGACCTCTGGCTGATGGTAAAGATTTATTTTAGCTGGATGTCTCTGTCTCCCTTTTTCCCTGGGATGACTTGAGAACATCACAAGCCACAGCCTTTATTACTCACTTGAGCTTGGGGGAAAAAAAATAAAAAAAAAAAAAAAAAAAATACAGTCCTTGAACTTTCAAAAGGGAATAATAAAGAATTGCCACCCACAGCCAAATTGAAGTGTAAAGTTCATGACTGGGATGTTTTAAACATTTGGAATGTCAAGCAAATCGTGTGTGTGATTTGTACAGTCAACTGCGACAGTCTTCAAACCCTTGATACACCAATTAGAAAAAGCCCACTGTATTTCTTTCCTCATTAGTTAACACAGTACTTCACTGAGGAAAAGCAGGATTTTTTGCTCTTTCCTACCTTTAGTTTTGTATTTTCATTTGGGAACTAAAGATTTCTGTTTTCCCAATACAGTAAATATTGTCTAATCATTTTAGTAATACTTTAGAGATTTTCAGAAGTGACTGCAAAATAAAAATTACAAATTTGAAACTTGTTTACTTTAAGGGTGGCAAGAGATAAAAACATTTTCCTGGTTAGATTAGTGTTAAAAATATGTCATTATCATTATATACAGTGTTTGCAAAATATGGGTTTCTATTTTTCCTTCCTCTCACACAATATTGAACGTGTCTATTTAACATTTCCCTTAAAGGAAATTTTTAGCTACAGCCTTAAACTGAGATTTTAATAATTAGCTGAAATGATCTATTCAGAGCATGCTCAACATATTGTTTGATGCACAAACCTCTCCCATTTCTTGTCTCAGCTGTTGGAATTCTTGCCTTTCCATTTCCAACTTTTGCCGACGCTCTTCCTCTGTGCGTCTCTTCTCTTCTTCCATTTTTTGCCTCAGCAGCTCCTCAAAGTTAATTTCCAGTTTCCCAGGTACGAGGGATTCTTGAGAAAATGTTTTAAACATTTCTGGTGATTCATCATCCAGCACCTGCTGGGAATGCAGAGATGAAACCACAGCATTGCTCATTGTGGGACATAAAGATTTATGTCACGTAAACAGGTGACATATTTTGTGGGTATTCCTCTAATATTGTGGGAGGGAGTGGTTTGGGGGGGTTGTATTTAACTTTAGCTACAGTGCTAAAACTTTAATGAAGTATTTTCTGCCCTCTAAATGCTCCTTTAGGACCTAAAGCAATTCATTCTTGTTTCCTTCAGACCATCATTAAACAGTGTTTGTGTTTAAACGTCATTGCTCTTAACACTGAAATACCCAGAGCTGCCATTTCTTTGGAGCAAATTGAATTAAGCAATATTAGCATTTCCAGGAAGGAGAACTGAACAGAATTTTCAGGAGAAATTCATCTTGTGAACAAATTGTTTAAGTCCTGTTGCCGGTTTATTGGTTTATAGAACCCCCAGCAAGGGCTTCCTCCTTTCCCTGGCCTTGTCTCTGGCTTCCCAGTAGGGTTAGGCTTAGTTGGTGTTTAGGAGCAGTTGGTGTATCTTACAGACTAATTCCTAGCATGGTAGGGCTTAGGAAAGGCAGTTTTCATTCCTTCCAAAGCAGGGAATGGAAGAAGTAACATTTTCTCAGACTGAAGTGCAATATGACTAAAATCTGAAGCTGTGTGCTACCAAAATGGTCAGTGGTGACAGAGTGAGTCCTGCAGGAAGGTTAAAACAACTCCTTGCCAAAGCTTCCACTTGTGTGTGTCTGGGCATGGACCTGGACAAACTTGCTGACAGATTGTCCCAGCAGGAACGTTCTGGAGGTGAATGTGAGCTGAGCTCGGGTCCTGGCCCACAACTCTGAGCTGATGTGCTTTGGGCTTCATCAGGGCGTGTTTGAAAAGCCTTGGGGCAAACATGGAAGGTTCAGTGTGCCCTGAGTTGTAGCCATTCCCAACAGCAGGAATCAGGCAAATGCTGGAAACAATTAAAGCAGCAAATTTCCATTGGAGAAGGTGTTGTGACTACCTTCATAAAGGAACAGAAACTAAACATTTTTTGAGAGTCTTTGACAATTCCTCTTCTCTTTATTGCTGCTCACTGCCCTGTAACCCACACCTTTTGCTGCTGTTGATGCCATGCTAGCTCACATCCCTGTCTCGACCTACTTTGCCCATATCCTTTTTATTTGCCACAGCTCTTTCAGTAGTTTTTTAGCCCAATCCCACTCCAATTCTGCTATTCACTACAGATATCCTTCAGATTTTCCCTCTGAGTAATTTCACAGTTGGACTTCAGCCCCACCATTCCTTCCAATCTTCATTTGTTTTGTGTAATATGAGCACATTCGTTGAAATTGTGTTATGGAAAAAGTGAAGTCTAAAAACAAGCTGTAAACTATTTCCTTCAATGAAAACAATGCCATACAGTTTTTGGAGGCTAACCATTGCCTAAATTAACAAAGAAACATGAAACTCTTGCTTGTGATGCCCTGGTCCATGTGTTCATCCCTTCAAGGAGACACAGACCCTGAGGGAGCAGCAGGGGTGTTAATTCAGGATTTGCCCACGTGTGTTCAAAAGCTGGGCCTGTGAGCAAACACTGAAGCTTCTGCTCTGTATTTGTGACTGACTTATGAAAAGACAGAGAACCAATTTATTGGTGGTTAAAACCCACAAAGATTCAATGAGTTGTGTGAGGTACAAAACCCCTGTGGTTAGTCCAGTCAATATTTTAGCCATATTTTGTGAAATGAGGCCATACTTTTTTTTTTCCTGCAAAGTGGGAACAGTTGGTGGTGAGAAAATTCCTGTAACGATCCCAGTTTGCAGCACAGTCAGCCAATATTCTGAGGGCAAACAGGGACTGAGAGAAAGTAGAATTTTTTTTCTTTATTATTTCTGTTAAGACAGGTTCTTTTTGCAGTCTTTAACAGAAAGAGACTGATGGGGATGAGAGATCCCTGTTTCAGTCTGAAAGCCATCACACTGGTGATGGGGAGCATAGATTTTCAGTTAATTTTTTTAATTGCTGACCATTTTCAGTGCCTGGAGTCACAGTGCACAGTCTCTGTGCTGCAGCTAATGGATTAAACCCCGTTTAATCAGTGAGGTTATTGCTGCACTGAGGCTGAAAAAAGTGTTTCTCAAGAAAACAAAAACCAGACACGTCTTTGCTTCCCTTTAGTTCTCTGCTGGCTTTTCATAAAATAACTGGGTTATTCCACAGTTCTGTACTGGCCAGTCCTGCCCTTCTTTTTGCAACAAACACTACTTCCTTTTAGTTTCTGTTTGGGTGATTTAATATTGTATTTCCTTATATCCACCAGTAAGTAACTGGTTTATACCCACAAGCCTGCTGAGACTTGAGGTGGTTGGAGTAAGGATGAAGACTGCACTTAAAAGTTCCATGCTAGGGTGTTTTTTATTAATAAATAATATTGTTGCCACCCTCTGAAATTGGTCATCTCCCTCTGCTTTCAGCTAATGTCAGTATGTCAAAGTCCCTGAAAATTTGTCTTCTGCATCATCTTAACTCAAACTTTAGAAGCCCTTGCATGTCACAGAGATCTGCACTTATCTCAGGAAGACCCATATTAAAATTGTTCTGATGGGAAATGCCACAAGTTACTTTTTGTGTTGAAATACTTTAAAAGCTACATTTCAGTCAGCTGGGATCAGCCTTCCTAAAGAGCCCCAGGTGACTGGATAATTCATTGCTCTGACTGGGATGCCATTAATTGTGCTCCAGCTGTAAGAGATGATTGCTGAACACCCTGTAAAGGTGTGAGAGAAACCCAGAGCTGGTAAAAGAATTGCTCTTCTCCCCCCCAAAAAACCCAACAAACCCTCCTGGTCAGAACATTTTGCTTTCCAAGTTGGTTGCATCCGGCATAATAATACCCATTGGATGGAATCTCTGGGTTTGACTAAATCAGTTGGAATCTCTCCAGGCTGGGTGTGAGGAGGGATTGTTCTGTGAGGATTTTGGGTAAATGAACCTGATTAGTTACCCCATCACCTCCTAATGAGTGGGGAGGGGAATTAATGAAGGAAGGAATTGAAGCAAACATTCCTAACTCCATTGAAAGCTTTTTGCCAGAGTTTCTTTCCAGTTTGTTTGAATCTTAGGTAACAATGAAATCATGCACTAAACCAGAATCCCATACCATGTTCTTCCTCGCTTCAGCAAATGCTCTTTTCTCCTCTTCTATGCGTCTCCTCGCTTCCTCCTCTGCTTTCCTCTTCTCCTCTTCTCTCCTCTGTCTTTCCATCTCCTCAAAACTGAGTCTGAGTTTCCCAGGGCGGAATTCTTTAACAGAATTTTCAGATTCTTCATCCCCACCTTCATTTATCTTCAGAGAAAGGGGGAGAGGAAAAAATAGAAAGGACTTACCCAAACATAAAAATATTCTTTATAGTGAATAAATACTCCATTAATTCCTTTCTGATCTCTTATAAATGTTGTTTTCTCCTTGAGGAAAAAATATAGCAAGAGTCTGGTTCCTAAGAGAAACATTTTAATCTTGGTTTTAGCCAAGGGAGGGAGAAGGGAAATTTTCAGTATCCTATATGTAGCTTCTGTAGTTTTCAAAAATCTATCAGGTGTGTAATTCAAAGAACAAACCGTGTGTTATAAGGAAAAGGCTGGACAGTTAAATACTTACTTTATGATCTTGGGGCTGGATCTTTACTGTAAATCACTCCCTATTCAATTTATTTACATCACTTCCATAGACCTTTATACCATCAAGTCTTTTTGTTGGCATAGAAATTGTTCTCACCAGTGCACCAGTTGTGAAAAAAATGCTGTAGAGTCTTATAGAAAAACTGAATCAATTCATTAACGTTTTGCTATTATTCCAGACTGAGATTTTTATTTCTTTTCTTTTTAGCCATTTAATCATCACTGAAGAAAGGGAATTGAGATACTGTGATCTCCTCACTGTAGCTTGTCTCCAGTGAACACTCACCTGCTAAGAGGAGCCTGTGCTTTGCAAACTGCAATCAAGGACAAAAGACCAAACCCCCTCCAGAGGACACCCCAGAGTACTTGAGAAAAATTATTACTTCCAGTTTTGGCAACCACTGCATAGCAGATAAAGCCACATGTTAGAAGACATGTTTGATGCAGACAATTTGTACATTATTTTATATTAGTTGGTAAATAAAAGCATAGACATGAGGGTGGGAGGTGGGAACTGAACCTCAGTTAGAGCAGCTCGTGACTCCAAGGAGTTCACTCTGTCATTGTCTCCCCTCTCCTCCTTTGCTGCCCAACCCCAGACAAAAAGAAGAAGGTGCATTGTTGGCATAATGACCATGTTATTGGTGTGAACAAGTTAAGGGATTTGGTGGAGGTGGAGGTGAAGCAGTAAACTACAATTTGGGTATCTGCCTAAACCCAGAACCCTCTCAGTGTGGACCAGTTGAGAATTTCTGTGTTTCAGCTTTCTGGAGGTTCTGTGGTGTTGGGTTTGTTTAGGTTTGTGTGTGTAGAATGTACATTTCTTGAATGTGTCTGAAGTATAGTCAATATAGTGATTTTGATCTGTTTGTCTAAGAATGTCCATTCAATAACTGCAGTCTGTTGAAGTTAGCAAATTCCTATAAATAATATGTTCCCAGTTTTTGCAGAAGATTAAAACCTCGTTTCTCGTTAATCTTGTTTGTATGTGAATTTTTTGTGTGAATTAACAAAGTCAGAGTGATCATGACTGTACAGGGGAAAAGTATTCAAATACAGAACTTGAGAATTGCTTTTGGCAATGGAGTGTGGTAAAAATGAGGAAATACAGAACTAAACTGTCTGGTGGATCTTTGGTTAATAGTGAGTGTGATTCCTCCAGTGTGATCCAAGAACAAACTCCAGTGAGGTCTATTTAGAGGTGATCTAAAGTAACTCTGCCTCATGATAAAGAACACATATGGAGGTGGTTCTGCAAGTAATATAAACCAGGAATTGTGAGCCACATTTCTGACAGTTTGGGGACTTAATCAAGTCATTTATGGTATGTTGTTTATGTCAATATATACGAGGGAGCTGAGCTGGTCTGTCTTTTTTGCCCTTTCTTCCTAAGAGGAGAGTTGTAATTGATGTTTATTTCTATATGTTTACAAATAAATGCAACAAACGTGGGTAGAGCCCTTCCCAAATCTTCGTTCGCGAAGCCCAGCCATGGTGACAAATAAATCTGGGAATAAGAAACGGGATTCTGTTCCTACAGAATGTTTGCATCAAAACCTGGTCACTGAAACATCTGCAGCACTAATTAAGAACCCAACAGACAGTAGTCTTCGTGAAGACTTACAGCTGAAGGGACTACAAAGTGTAGATATCAAACCCACTGAGATTGCTGGCACAATTCAAGCACCTGTATTTGTGGGGTTGACTAAAGGAATGTGGAAAGCACGATGAAATACTGGGTGATTACTGAGCTAAGGCTAAAAATGCATCTTGCAAAAAGGCATTTTCAGACTCTTTTACAGCTCGAAATGTGGTTGAGGAGTAAGAAAGAAGCAGGATCCTGTTGAGGAGCAGCCCTGCCCTCACCATTCGCTGTCTGGCCTCCTCAAAGGCCCGTCTCTCCTCCTGCAGCCGCTGCCGGGCCTCCTCCTCCGCCTGCCGCCTTTGGCTCTCCTGCCTCTGCCTCTCCAGCTCCTCAAATGTCACCTTCAGCTTCCCAGGAGACACAGACTCCGGGGGGGCACTGCTTTCATTCTCACCCTGGGTAAGGAAAATGAAACAGTTGTATCTTAAGCTGATAAATATCTGCTCTGTGGGTGTTTTGGGATGGGGGGTTTACCGTGACAGACGAAAGGCACTTGGTTTCCTTCAGGGATTGGTTTTCATTCTTCATTTCTTCCTCCTCTGCTCTCTCCTTTCCTGGGTTCTCACAGTTTATTTTTACCTTCCCAGGTGTCTTGGTGGGTTTCACAGGCACTACTGTAACTAGGAGTGAATCATCCCCTTCCTGTCCAGAAAGATATTTATTAGATATCATATAAATAAACTCATTTCTTAATGAAACTGCTGGTTTAACCTGTGTGCACCAAAGCTTCCAAAAGATTTACTTGTACTGAGTATTAACCACAAGAATAAATCCAACTGCCTGTGGCACTCACTGCTTTTCTTGTAAAGCTGAAGAGTGTCAAGACTGAATTATAGTTTAAACATAACTGCTGGGAAACTCCTTGATTTCTTTACATATCTTCACTAACTGTTAGTTATAAAAACTCATAGGTTGGAAAAGAACAGGTGTAATTTGGAACACACAGCAACTGTAACCACACTCCACTTCCAGTTTTAACATTTACCCTGTAAAGGAAATACTGTGGCTGGAATAAGCCAGTGGCTCTAGAGAGCAATTTGTAATTTCTCAGGCACAGTAATTGTTTTTTGAAGGAAGTTGCTGATTCAAAGCTATTTTTGCAACTTACTTGCCAAAATACATTTTACCTTTTTTTTTTTTTTTCTCCACAGAATACCGTGATTAACAGGGACACTGTCAAATAAGTTAAAGCTAATGGATTCTGGGGGGTATTTTTTGCTTTCCAAAACTGTAGTAGGAGTGTGATTTTCTTGTGTTAGTAAAAGACAATAGGACCTTTGGACCCAGCTTTTTGAAATTAAACATTTATTTTCAAGACTTAAAATCCAAATGGTAAATTAGTCAATTAAAAAAAAAAAATGTTCACTGAGTGAGGTGTTCAAACATCTGTATGTTGTCAGAAGCCCCTTTTAATTTCAAGTTTAAGGCAAAGAGCTTTTACGATGATTCTTTCCAAAGCCAGAGGACTTAGAGTATCATTACCAATATATATCAAATGATTCTGGTGGCTTTGAATATTTACATTTTAGGTCTTTTTAACTAACCACAAAGTACTCACAGTGCAGGCTCTTTTTCAAAATTCAGTATACTGATTTCAAGAACAGACATATAGTTCCATATACTCTAAAAATTTGTTAGCTCCTTGGTTGAACTTTAAGCAGGTATTTGTGTGCCCTTTTCGAAGTTTTCCCGACCCAAATTACAACAATAAAACAAAAGTGAATAAAATTGTAGGTGAACATTTCTTTAAAAAAATCTGATTACCTCAGCTGCTGATTCAGTTCCCGTATTGTTAAAGTCCTCAATCTATTAAATAAGAATTTCATAGGATTACATTACTTTGGCTCTTTGCCTTAGAGTTCCAAACACAGAACTGGAAATTCTTTTTGTATCAGAGATATGTAGGTAGCACTTAAATTCCCAGGGGTGATAAGGACTGGACCTTGGCTGGAATGCTTGTGGAGGAAGAGGCAACACGACATAAAACATCCTAAAGAAAATATGCTACAGCATTTTAACAGGGCAGGGCTGAACTGGGAAGTGTACTTGAGATGTCCAGTCTTCATTTAACCATTCCAGAATTGTGTGAAACAGAAATAAAACAAAACAAAACAAAACAAAAAACAAAAACAAAACAAAAAAAAAACCAAACAAAAGCAAACAAAGGCAAAACCAAACAAAAGCAAAAACCACCAAAGCCAAATGCTGTGTTTGCTTCACGTTAATTCTAAAATTCTACATGTCTGTCCTTCTGCCTTGCAGAGTAGATTAAAAATATGGTAGATACATTGCCAGTTAAAAGCACAGTTGTAACAATGTTAAAAGCCTTAGTAGAAAACTGACTCCTAGTTTTCATTTCTTAGAACAAATTCAAACCCAAGTTAAGTATTACTGTCGTTTGGTTAAATAACAATTGGCTCGTGTTACAAGCAGAAGTAAGAGTTGGTAAAATATAAGAAACATTTTCAGATTAGTTTAGCAAACACTGTAAACTCTTGTTTGCATAGGACACCAAAATTTGTGCCTGGTTCCTGCCACATTTTTGCCTGCCTGGTTTCATCTGTAGCTGTTTTAGAGCTTAAAAAAAGATTTACTGTAAAGAAGTGAAGAGGAAGAGTCTCTGAACGTTATTTCCCACCTCCATCCCACTGAGCATCACGTAAATCACCACTATCAGAAATCTTAAGATTGAATCTTTCTGATCAATACAAAACTTTAATTTGTGGCTGTTTGCTTCCAATTATACCCTGCCTGGTGTGATCAGATCAACATACCTCCTGAGCTTTTTTGGCTAATTCTCTTTGAATTTTTCTTTTCTCAATCATATCTTGTTCGATTCTGCGCTTCCTTTCTTCTTCCATTCTTTTTCTTTCTTCTTCTTGCCTTTGCTTCTCCATTTCTGCAAATTTGCCTTTAACAGTCCCTGTGGATGTGAAATACACTGATAAATACTTTCATCTAATACTTGTCAGGTGACTTATGGGGCCTTTAAAGTTGGGCCTCTCTTACCTATTAGTTTTGGGACATAACCTTTTTCTGTTTTAGATAATTTGGTGTCATCGTCTTCATCAGATGCGAGCAGTTCTTTCATCTAATTGATGAAACACAGAAAATAAACTGTCTTTATAACTAATAAAATCCCAATGTTATTGTCTTAAAATAATGTGAATAGATTTTCAGGCAGAATGTCAAATATTAACACAAAATATTAGCAAAGAAAACAACCTCCTGCTTTCTCCTGTTCCATTCTCTCTCTCTAACATATTGTTCTTTTCTTCTTTGCTTTTCATCTCTAGATCTCCTTTGATTTCTTTCTTCCCTTGCTTTTTGCATTGCTTCAAATTTATCCTTTACATCGCCCTTGTGAAGCTTGGGCACATAGGACTTTTGGACGGGTTTAGATGAAGAAAGCAGAATCTTGGTGAAGATATAGAAGAAATGAAGATAAGAGAAAAAAAGAAAAGTTGAAGCAGATGGACAGAAATATTCTGATAGACTGGATTAGAAAGAATGTGAGAACATAAAACAGAAGTGCAGTTGCTACTAGGAACTTTGTGCCATGAGCCATCATCAATTAAGCCACAAATAGCAATAAATACTAAAAGAACCAAAACAACATTTAGCATTATATTAAACTTAGGCTATAAGCAATTGCAATGAAGAGCTGCAAAACAACTATATGAACTGTGTGAACGGACATTCTCAGGTACTGGGGCTTTAAACATTAATTACAGATTTAGATTGTTGCTTTCAATCCTAAGCAGCCACCAAAGAGCCCCTCTGCCCCCAAAACTTAAAACAGATATAAAGTCATAGATGTATAATACAATATGTAATGGGGGGGTTTCTGCAACACTTCAGCAGCCATATACAGTTTTTTAAATAAATAGTAGTATTTCTTAACTTCAAACTCCCAGTGCATTACATGCTCACTTTCTTAATATTTATAGAAACAGAGAATCCCGGTGATTTTATGTTATAAAGTGCAAAGGTTGCAGGACTCTGATACTGATACAGCAAATGGACATTTCTTTGCCAGTGCTACTCTCTGGGTGCCCACACAGCAGGAGAAGTTCCCACTTCTCAGAACTGCTGGGAATTTTTCTCTTTTTACAGTGATGATGACAGGAATGTTCTCAATAAAGTAATAAATACTGAGAAAACTGGCTGAAAACATTCCATGTTTCATATTTTTCACCTTTCACCAGGTGACATGTCCAGAATTACCCCATCAACACTGTAAGTTTCTTTATATTTTGTTGCCTTTATTTTGCCTTCCCCCTCCATGTTTTTTCTAATAACAGTAAGAACATAATTCACAGACTCTATCAAATAACAGCAATAGCAGCATTCCAGTATAATTGTCTATTACAATTTTTCTGTAATTATTACTTTTGCAAGCATCAGTAGTAAATTATTCCATTGCTTTGATGACTTTAAAATAGGTACCTACCTCAGTTTTCTGTGCAATGTCATTCATGGTTACTGTACTGTGCTCTGCACCTGGTATGTTTTAAGATTGCTTTCAGTTTCTACCTGAAAGAAACAGTTGTAGTTATATTCCTTCCTTTTCCTTTTAAATGATGCTTTAACCATCTTCCTGTAAATAAGGTTGCATAGGCTGAAATCAATGTATCACAATTTCACTTGGTCCTCTGAGGCTTTTCAAGACATGAATAGGTTCTAAGTGTGCCACAGTAATTAAAAGAACAAGCTTATGATTCACTATTCATGCTCATAACTCCTCTATATAGTTCTAGATATTGGGTTTTAATTTCCATTTAAAAAAAAAAAACCAAACCAGCTTGGAGCCAAGCTCTGGTGTGTTGTTAGAAATTTTAAAGTGCACTGTATTATTAGGAACCAAACAGAAAGGCACTTCAAGTTCAGGGCAAGCCTTTGTCTTTTCTTTTTGATTTTCTTTCTTTTTTTTCACCCCCTTTTCCTTTTTTTTTTTCACCTTCCAGTCTATCAGAGCTTGTAGGAGAAAAGAAACCATAACATGACTGCAGTGCTCCTGCTATCTGTGCTCTGTCAATCCTCTGAGGGCCAGGAACCCACCAGAAAACAAAGGAATGTCATGCACTGGTGCAATCCATGCACTGGACAGGGAGACCTGGCAGCCCTCACACAGGGCTGGAGCAGAGAAGTAAGTCCCAAAGATAATCTTTCCCAAGAAATTCCATTTCACCTGAACACCTCAAGAGAAGGGCACCTCTAATCTTCACTGCAGCAACAAACCCAGTTGATGTGGCTTCACCTTAAAGTCATTTGAAAACAGACCTTCCCAATGTCCGGTTCCGAATGTGCAGTTAATTGTAAGATGTTTATGAGCCAAGACTTTGTCTTGAACCTTCCTGATAGCTCCAATTGCCTGAACCCCTTGACACTGGGATAACAAATCTGAAATTTTCTTTAAAAGTGCAAATGTTGGAAGTAATTTTCCATGTGGATTCCTGCTGTCTGAACTTCCAAAATTGTGCCAGTCCAACAGGCCGTTGGCCTGGAGGATGGCAGAGCTGTTCCTGCCATGTGGAATGCTGCCATATCTGCTATTACTTTGGGCTGCTTTCCAGTTTGTTGGCATCACCAGCTCTTAATATGTTTGAAGGTTAGCCAGCTGGCCCCGTGGCATTTTGCCTCTGCAAGTCATCCTACCTGCTCCTTTGATGCTGAAAGATATGGCTATAAAGCAGCAGAGCATTGCTGAACATGATACCATCCATGTTTGCACTTCCATCCCTCTCCATGGCCACTAAGCCTCAGCAGGAGCAGCAGCAGGACACACCTTGGGCACCCCTCGAGGCAGAGCAGTAAATTCCAGTGAAGACAATCCAAAATGTTTAAGAAAAAAAGGAACACTCCTTGAGTTTTGGCTTGTGTGGCAGTGACCATTGTTCCAGGAATTACAGCTGTGGCCTGATGCTCCTTTGGATCTGCCTGATCACCAGGAAAGGGTCACAGTCCAGGTCTTGTTGCTGGGAAAACCCAAGTGGCTACATCGAGAAATCCTGACACCTTCCATGTCATGGAAGAACAGTGACTTCCTAACCTGCCAATAGCTTTGCAAAAGTATGCAGTAACAAATTTGCCAACCCAAGAAACCTTGACCTACTAACTCCCTTTTGAGATGAACCAGTTACATTTTTAAGTTGTGTGTATATACATATGTATTCTTGCTTTGCAGTAAGAATTTTCCCCCAGAGCTCATCTAATAAAAGTAATGCTTATTCTTTGAGGCAACACAAATCTACTTGTATAGGTACTTCAGAAACTATTTTGCTTCCTATTATGAAGCTTAAGATGCAGTCTCATCTTTTATTTCCCAAGATCAGCATATCTCAGGAGAAGCTGTAAGAGCTCCTTACTGAAGCTTCTCACTCAAAAAAAAAAATAAAATCTCAAAGTTCAAGTGAAAATTTAATACAAAACCAATAATGCATAGGAAACTAGGCAACAGATTAGAAATGTTCTGTAAAAAAAAAGTGTTTTCAATTATCTTATTTGTTTGCTGTAAATGATAAGCAATCACCTTCGATATGATCTGATCTGAAAGGTGCTGTTTTGATCACAGCACTTTTTCAATTTTTCATGCAGCCTCCCTAAAACCTTACTTCAGGCAAAAGAAAGTGAACACAAAAAGCCAAAACATCCAGGGGACACAGCTTTGATGGCTCACAAGTCCTAAAATTAATCTCCTTAAATTTAATTAATTTCCATTTCTGAAAGGAGGTCGGAGTCCTCAATTGATACCACAAAAAAAAAAAAAAAAAGTTGTGCAGCTTTAACCAGATTAAAAAAAAAAAAAAAACAGACTTCCCATAAATAATAAAATTCCCTTTCTTAAAAAAAATTCCTGATTTTCAGAGGTGTGATAAACATCCTCACAGGAGACACGACAAATATCAGCGTTTCCCTGGACTGAACACTACTCTTTACAGCAGGACTATGAAGCCAGGACTTTAAAAGAGGTCCAGTTCCTCTGTGATGCCTCCTTTTGGGAGGCCCCCTGCTCTCCTGCTGGGTCCTGTGAGTTATAAATAAGCCCTTCATGGCACCAAGTTACGTTTACCATCTGTCTCCTCTTTGTGATCTGCTTGCAGGGAAGACTCCATTATATAAGAAAACCACATTGTCAGAGCTGGCAACTCACTACTTGCAGCCAGAGAACTAAGGAGAGGAAAACACAGTGTTAAAATATTAAACAAAATACTAAATAGAACTGGAAAGAGGAGGGGAAGTGTTCCTCATTTATGTCCTTGCCATAACTGATCTGGAATGACACTACCAGTTGTTGTACTAAATTACAGATACTGAAGTAGGTACTAAAATTATCGTGCACAGGGGAAGATCCTGAGCTGGCATAAACTGTCAGCTCCACTGAAGCCAATGAGTTATGACAATTAACACCAGCTGTCTAAACTTCACATTTTCTATAATACAAAATGCAAAACTACTTCCACTTCCTTGTATTTCCTTCGTTAAGTCTTTGTAATTAAAGACCAGAACGCTCACCAATAACTGACCCAGCTAATTAAATCTCATACACAATCTTTTCCTCAGTCTCTGGATTTATCACACTCCAACGTTTATTGAGAGTCTCATATTGTAGAATAGTCCTTACAGATATGCTGTTACCTGTAAAAGCATATTTAATACAAGGGATGCCTGTGTTTCTTTATGTAACTATAGACATTCTTAATGCAACAGTGCCACACAGTCCAAAGTGTTAAAAAAATGAAATCACCCTTCTCTGTAGAAAAGATCTGTTAATTCCTTACTCTCTTCTTACTGTTATGGGGTACACAGGCTCCAGAGCAAAGGTAGTGGGGGATGAGAGAGCGCTCTGTTAAGGGGGAAATCCTGCTGGGATCTTCTGGCCCATGACTTCATGTTCCACAGTATCTGCTGATCCTAATCACAGGTGGCAGTAAATTGTGAACTGAAGTCCCCAACAGACAAATCAGCGTATTTTGCCCCACGCCATAGTTCCTTCATCCCCTGCTGTATCACAGCAGCTGAGGACCAACAGTGTGATTTCAGTTCTGCTGAAAGGACTGACAGGACTTCAGAGATGAAGGTGCTGAAACAAGGGGTAAAATACTGGATATGAAGCGCTGTTGCCATCTGTATATTCCCTTCCCCACTGACAGGACACAGCCAATCTGCCTCTTCTCAGAAATCCTCCTGGCCAGCTCAGGCTGAACACAGGGCTGGTCACCCCACGGTGGTCATGGTCCGTGTGGTGCCTCTGCTGCAGAGCAGAGGTCTCCTGCCTTCCTCGAGATGTGCTGCTGCTTCTACTCAAGCAACCCCCCCTCTGGCAGTGCTGTGAAAGCCCACTCGTGTGTACAGCCTTCCTCTGAGCAGCTGTGGCTGCCTCGGGTGCACAGCAAAGGGGCACTTCCATCGCCTCCTGCCCTGCCCTGCCCTCCCAGTGCCATCAGCTTTGCCCTCCACCTCCCCACAGCCAACTTCAACCACCTATGGTAGATGCTCGTCTGACTTCGTTCACTGAGGAAACCGCTCATCTAATACATTCCAAAAACAGTTAGAGAAGGTATTCCCTCAACCATCTACCCAGCTCTTATATCCTGAGCTCAAGATAGGCTCTTGACTCAGATTGTTCTTTCTACATATACTAGGCATGTTCTCATACTTCTGTATCTTCCTTAATTACTACACTTGGCCCTCTTATAAGACTAATTATTACTTTACAATTTAATTTCACTGGTCAATTTTCTAAGAGATTTAAGGTCTCTTAAGATCCGAGATCTAAGGTTAAGAGTACTGTTTTCTACCATACAGCTACTTGCTGATTAATGTTTGAATGAACACGTTTCATTAAGTATGCTTATTGCATTAACAGAAGTTCTTATTTACCTAAAACAAACATGATAATAAACAGCTTGTAAGCTGTCACAGAAGCCCAATATTTTCTTCCAACCCACACTGTCTTACAGCCATCCCTTCAGGGTGAAGCAGAACCAAGGGACGCACTCAGCTGAAAACCACACCGACAGAACTGAACTGCTCTGAACGTGCAGACACGCGGTTTGCGAAAATTAGGCATTTATGGGATTTCGAAGTAACTCTTACGGACCGCACAGCCCAGACGATCTGCCCGCACCGCTCACCCCGCGCTCGCCGCCCATCGCGGCCGGGGGGCCGAGGAGCGCCCGCTCCGCCGGGACACAACCCCCGCTGCGGGGCTGCGGTTAAACTGCTGCGGGTCGCACCCGCCGGGCCCGGAGCGTGAGGGGGCCGTGAGGGGGGCCCGGGCCGTGAGGGGGGCCCGGGCCGTGAGGGGGGCCCGGGCCGTGCGGAGCCCCTGCCCGGCGCTCCCGGCCCCGCTCCCGCCTGGCTGCAGCGACATCGCCCCGGCGCTGCCCGCGGCTGCCGCCCCAGCCCGGGGTCCCTCCCCGGCGGCCCCGCGGTGCGAAGGGGCCGCTGCCCCCAGAGCCGTGGGCTGTGCTCGGCCCGGCCGCCCCGGGGGCGCCGCGCGGGGCCGTGAGGGGGCGGCGGGAGGAGACGGCGCTGCCGCGGCGGGTCCGGGCGAGGGGAGCGAGGGGAGCGGGGTCAGCGGGGCGGGCGGGCAGCCCGAGCCTCGCCGCACGCCGGGGGAGCGGGGCGGGCTGCGGGCGGCAGGGCGGGGAGCGGGGCGGGGGAGCCGAGCCCGCGGAGCCCCGCGGCGGCGGCGGCGGAGCCGCTCTTACCTGCGCCTGCCCGCGCTGCGGCTCGGGGCGCTCCGGGCGGGCTGCGCTGCCGAGCGCCCCTTGGCTGCGGCCGCCGCCGCCGCCGCAAGTTTCCATAAAAGTCGCGGCGCGCGCCCGGCGCCCGCATTCCAGGCGATCCCCGCGCCGCGGCAGCTGCCCCTGCCGGCCCGGCCCCGCCGACCCGCGCCGTGCCCGGCCCCTCGCCCGCCGATCCGCGCGGGGGGCGCAGCCCGGCCGCGCTGCCAGACCCCCCTGCGGGCAGCGGCCCCGCCAACAGGCTAATTTTGGGCTGGAAGCGGCGCGGAGCTATAAATAACCGGGGCGGCTGGCGCGGTGCTGGCCGTGCCGGCCCTGCCGCAGGTCAGCGGGCGGGCGGGGGCTCCGCGGGCCGGGCCGGGGGACACGGAGGACTCGGGGACCCACCGCCCGGGCCGGACCTGCCCGCGCAGCTCCGGCGCTCCGCGGTTCTTCTCGGCCCCGTCCCAGAGATCCCCGCCCGGGCACCGCCGGCGCTCCGGCAGCCCCGGCCGGGCTCACCCGCGCTCAGCCCGCACTCACCGCAGCCCGGCCCGGCCCCGCTCAGCGCGGGCACCGCAGCTCCGCCGCCGCCGGCCCGGCCCGGCCCGCGGGGAGGTTTTTATACCTACGGCCGTCAGGTCCCCGCTCGGTTTATGGCACATGGAGAGCGATCAACTAATAATAGTAATGTGACAGCGCTGGTGGAGCGGGGAGGAATCTCCCCAGTGCCAGACTGCGAGGCAGAGCGCGGTGGCTCAAAGCAGCGCCTTTCTCCGGGAACTTTACAAAGCAGTGGCAGAACGCGATTTTATTACATCTGAATACATTCCTTTTCCTGCTTAAAGATGACTTGTTTCCTACACGTTCAACTGCAAGGTCTCCAGTGCAGAACTTTCTTCTTCCTATCTCTCTAGTGTTGTGTCTGTCACACTGGAGCCCGACTTTCAGCTGGATTATAAACACTAGGACAATAACCACATGACTTTAGGCTGTGCAGATCTCAACAACGGCCATCGAAGACAAAATGTGTTTGGCTTTTGAAGGACAGCACAGGAACCTTCCCCAATTTAAACTGCACAGCCCAAAAGCTGTTGCCATTCAATATTTTTTTTCATTTATATATTTTGTAATAGTTGCTTTTTGTTGATTTCAGGCAGCGAATTCCAATTTCAAGGTGACCAACTGGTATCAAAACACCTGCCCTATGAAATAATTTTGCAACAGATTTCAAGAATCGTGCGAATTCAAGTTTTAGATACAGTTATATGAGCAACAGTTGTTTCACTGAAATATTTTATTTCATATACACAGCTGCACTTCATTAGGCAATAGAAAGGTCACAAATGATCTTACTCTGACACTTGGTTTGACGCGTCCAGTTTGATAGAAACCAAAGACTACAAAAGAAATGTATAATAATCATTAAGAACACATTAAAAGTGAGATTATTATTACAACTAAATTACAAATTATATAAATATTTGATTCTTGTATAATCCCTACACATTCAACATTTCTGACTTTAGGAGCACAGTTACGGCAGAAGAGGATGGCTTTGAAATTTAGCTTGTTCTTATTAGCATGGAAAGTGGCATTCAAAACTACCCAAATTTAGAGATTATGAACGAAATTCTGATTTTGAAGTCGCTAGAGTAGAACTGCATCACCCTGTCCCTGCTGTGCTGCAGCTCTGGCACTTGTGTTTTCAGAGATGGTGCACTTCTGAAATTCTCAGGCCACGTGGCTGGTTATCAGCAGATACTCTGGACACGCCTGCTAGCTCAGGTGAAGCTTTTAACAGAACTGACTCCAGTTCTATGTTACAAGGAGACCTTCATCTCCCATTTGAAGTTAGAAAGGACAGAATAGATGAATGGTTTTTTGTCCTAAAAGAGCCAAAGGGGATCAAAAGCCTACCCACATGTACATTTCCCTCTTCCTCTCTCTTTTTCTCTCTTTCCTCGCTCTTCATTTCTGAACTGCTTCTGATTCAAATATTTGTTGGTATCTTACAACAACCAGAACCTGTGTTTCTAATTTTGGGAAAGACATCAGTTCAACTTCCAACCCCATTCCGTGGACTTCTGAGAGCTCCACGAGTGCATGGAAGTGCTCCTATTTTAAGTCAGATATTATCAAGTTCTTCCTCATTTTCTAAATATTTTGGTGTTTCTTTAGATCCTTCTCATTCATCTGTTTAAAAAAAAAAATCCTTTCATTTTTGACAGAAGACCAACTTTTAAAGTATCTGGAAACATTTACAACCTCCTGTGCAATGCTGTTGCACTTTGTTCAAAAGCTTTTTGTAAAAACCATGAAAATCTCAATATACATTTACTTCTGTGAAAAAGTGCATTTTTGTTTCTCTGAGATGTATGTTAAGGTGTAATTTTCTTCACATCAGTTTGTTAGACCAGAGAGACAGTTTCCTTTGCTACCTACAGCTAGTGCATTTGCTGTGGAATATGCCACTTACTCTGCTACTATTCCTATTGATTATGAGCCCAACAAGACACCTTTACTGTTCCACATAATTTCACTCATAGACTTGCAATAAGCTGCCAAAACACAGATAGCTTAAACATACTTATCTGCTCAAAAGCTGAGATAGGTGAAGAAAACTTCACATGCCCACAATGAAGACATGGCAGAGAAAAGAAAAAAGTCCAGCACGGAGCACAGTGCCAAGCTCAGCAACTTGAACGGTGGAAACAGGCCAAGAGCAGCATTTGGAATTTCTGTTTTATTACACATAGAAGTATACTTTTTTCTTTGTTAAATAAATTATAATCAGTTGGCATTTCACACAAGTCATATGACACATTTTCATCATTTTTGTACTTATCAAATGAGTACAACGAAGGAGCAAAACGTTGGCTTCGGTAAAATCTATGAATTACACAGGCCCTCCTCTTGGATATTGTCATTTTGGGTTGTGTTTGCAACAAAAGGTGACATTTTTCCAGTCAAGGATTGTTTTGATATCTTAGATTTTTAACAACATGCTTCTCAAATATCTGAATATTTGGAATTGCTCTGTAATTACTTACTCTGTATTTGACACAGGACAATTCTTGTGGGCTGGCTCTGTGTGGCAAAGCATATGTAAGTGTAGTTTAAGAGCCTAAACTAATTATGAAGCATTGCTTCAGTTTACAGAAATTCAAAGATTATACCTCATCATTATTTATTACCCCCAGAACAGGAAAAAACATTACTGTGAGTTCCCTCAGGCTTTCTGACTGTGCTGCCTGAAGTTCAGGGTTCCACAGCCTGAGCCACAGTTTCACACTGCACACAGATGGCCACAACTGCTTGAATTTCTTAAATAGACACCTGACTTCCCACAGAGAAGGGAGGAAGACTGAAGTGCTTTAAATTATAAAACACTGCCTTCAATTCTGTTTCATGATTAACAAATCTTACCATACATACTTATTTAAAAATATATTTTGAAATGCTACATATGAACTGAGAATGCTATTGGTTAATTTACCACCACATAGAGTAGTAACAGTTTTAGAACAAGGAAAGGTTTTAAAATTAATTGGTGAAGCTAGCATAGCTTTTAAAATATAAATAAGTACTTTTAAACACCTTAATGATGTTTAGATATTTTAAAACAAAATAAAGTAAAAAAATGCATACTGGCAGTCATTCCTGCCCCAACAGCGCTTGCATTTCCTGCACTGCTCCCTTGCACTGCAGTACAGAATGGATGCTTACACCCACACAAATGTAATCCCAGGGCAGGGGCAACATGTTCAGTTTTGTGAGTGTGATTCCTTTATTGCATGTGTCACATGAATCAGAGACTGCAGGCAAAACACCTTCCAGACACCTAATGATGAGACTCTGCAATGAACACTTTGTACTGTAAGCCTTTAAATGGGAACAACTCCATCAGCTTCACTCACAAATCATCTGTGCAAAAGTACAGTATTTCATAAATAAACTTTACCCAAATATTACAGAAAAAAGCTTTGGGATACATGAAGTATAAATACAGCGACAGCTGAGCTGCAAAATTAATTTAGGTATATACAATAACACACTCCCCATTTCTTTTCATAGGTGTACATTTAACCTCCCTGAGTCCTTTTCCACACTGTAGTGACGTGATGCATTTCCAGTTGCTTGCTCACTGAGAGCCATGGTGTAGCTTCAGCATTTAGAGAAAAAAGGGTGGGAAGGAGCACCCCAACGTGCACTCCCTGGCATTTGTCATGGATTTTCAGAGCTTACTGGACTTTTGCTTCCAAGAGCCCGCTGGGCACGACGTGCCCATGAGAGCTCACACAGGCCCCCACGTGTCTCAGGGAATCTGCTCCCAGGTAAGCCATGAGCAGCTCCGTGTGTCGGATCAGCAGCTGGGTGAGATCCTCAGCCAGGCTCTCCATGCTGGAGTATCTCACCTTTTCAAAATCAAAAATGTCCTTGAGGAAGAAAAGCACTTGATCCT